CCTCATCTCTCTCCTCACCCCACCTCATCTCTCTCCTCACCCCACCTTACTTCTCAGTGATTTGTGGCTGTCTCTCATGGATGGAGCTTCTCCAGGGCCTGTCTCCACACTTGTGGAAATCTATATGCCTGGCTTTCCCTGAACTATTTCTGCTAACTGGGTGCTTCATTTACTAGTTGATTTGGAGGCCATGAGTGTGAAGACTAGTGTGAAGACACACTAATGCTTTGAGAAAGAATCTCTGATGATACAGGACCAGAGGCACGGGGGAGTGGCCCCACCGTGACCACCCACACTGGGTTCTGCACAGGAGAACACGTCAGAGAAACTCGTATGCACTTGTGTGCACACACTCAACAAGCTTCCTTTGAAGGAGACACAAGCAAGCTCAGCGTGTTCCTCTCCAGGCCTTGTACTGGGATCCAGGTTGACCAGATGTCACCATTGGGGTTATTGGCACATGGGTCTCTCCTTCCTGCCTGTGAAACTAAGGCTGAGTATATAATCATCTCCATTAAAAGTCTAAAGCACAATAATTTGCTTTTCCATCGAAAAATATCCGAAATGGTGGGTATGGTGGCTTACACCTGTAATCCCAGCACTTAGGAGGCTGAGGCAGGAGGATTGCCATGCGTTTGAGGCCACTTTGGGTAATATAATTCCAGGCCAGAAGAGGAGGAGGGAGACTATGAAATAAAGGAGGAAGAAGAGGAGGAGGAGGAACAGAAGAAGAGGGGATAATTAAGGGGCCATGGTGCCCAAGAGGGCTCTTGGTAAAATGGTGCGCATGAAGCCATGGGGGAGAGAAGCTTCCATCACCCGCCAACCCATCACAGCCTCATTACAGTGTCCTCTTCCTCCCAGATTCTGAACTCTTTAGGATCTCACTCAACCTGCTCATGGCATGGTTATTTAACAATGTGTGGTGAATAAAAGAATGCACGTGTTAATGAACATGTGTATGACCTCAGTTCCAAGCTCACAGGTGGGATAGGTCAACACAAAACACAATCCTGTTAGAGCCTCCAGCATTGGGACACAGTTCCAGGGTTCTGCAGATGAATGGGAGCTTTCCAGGGTGGCGGTGAGTGATGTAAGAAAGCAGTGAAGACCGTCAATGGGAGGATGGTGTGCACAGAGCCTGGAAGAGAAGAGAAGGAGACAAGGGCTAGATGCTTCCGGGGCTGAGGTGATGGGATGGCAGTGGGATTCTTAGAAGGGAGTGAAGGGCATTTCGGCATGTTTTCTGGGGACTCTGGGAAGCTGTCTGGCTAGAGCCAGTGATGTGTCAAGGATTCCAGAGCGTGAACCATCCAGCAGGGAGAGGGTGCATCCTGGAGACACAAGGAAGCCCACACCCTTAGAGGGCAAGGAGAAGTGGCCTGGGCACTAGGAAGGAGCAACGAGGGAGCCAGGAGGATGATGAGGAAGAAAGAAGTGTCCCGGGGGCTGAGTCACATGACTTATTTCAGTCATTTGTTGCATGTATGTGTGGTGTGTGTGTGGACTATGCACCTGGGTGCGTACACCTATGTGCCGGGAGAGGCCAAATGAGCATGTCTGGTGTCTTGCTCCATTGCTTTCTCCCTATTCCTTTGAGGCAGGGTCTCTTGTTCAGCTTGGTTCTGGGCTGGCAGCCATCAAGTCCCTATTGTATAGGAATTTTAATCCATCAAACATGGCTACTTTAGCTGGAATACAGACATGCCAGCAGACAGGGGCAAGCAGATCTCTGAGTTCAAGGTCAGCCTAGAATAGCACAAGTTTCAGGTTTGAAAGAAAGAAAGAAAGAAAGAAAGAAAGAAAGAAAGAAAGAAAGAAAGAAAGAAAGAAAGAAAGAAAGAAAAGGTTTAGGTCCAGGCATGGTGGTACACAGCTTTAACCCAGCACTCAGGAGAAAAAGACACGCAGCTCTCTGTTTCGTTCAGTCAGTAAGTTGAGAGGCAGTACAGTGGAGTGGAGTTTGTGGCATTTCCATTTGTGGAATTCAGAGGCATTTATTTTTTTTTAACCAGGAGAGTTTTACAGAGAGAGGTTGAAGAGAGAACAAGCTAGACACAGGTAAAGATGAGCTAGAAAATGAGAATGAGTCAGAAAATTAGAACAAATTGTTAGAGTTAGTTTGAAGCCAAACAGGCCAACAGAGAAGCCAGATTGAATCAGTCAGCTTGGAGAGGAGTTTGAGCCAGAACAGCTGACTTGACTCAGCCAGCCAGAATTCTGAGAAAGGGTGAGCTTATTCAACAGTAAGTCTCAGAGGCTGAAAACATTCCAGGCCTAGATTCGATTGTACAGAGGCTAGAAGCCTCCAGGACTGGGCCTAGGTTAGCAGATGAAGACAGTAAGCCCCTGAGAGGACAATTACTTCAGGCAAATAAAGTCACTTTTACACCCTGTGGTCTTCCTGTCTCCACCACCAAATCTGTGGGGTTACAGGCTTGCATGTGATCAAACCTGGCTTTATGTGGATAGTGGGAGTTTGAACTCAGATTCTCAGGCTTGAGTAGCCAGCCTTCTGCACAGAACCATCTCCCCTGCCCATGAGTGTCTTTCCTGCAAGTATGTGTAGGTGCCCCATGTGTTCCTGCTGACCATGGAGGCCAGAAGAGGGTCTGGATCCCAGGAACTGAAATTACAGATAGTTGTGGGACACTATGTAGTTGCTGGAACTGAACTTGGGTCCCTGTGAAAGCAATCAGAGCTCTTAACTGCTGAGCCAGCTCTCCAGTCCCAGCCCTGAATGCTTCTCAGTCGGGCAGTGGCCTCGGAAGACAGAGGACAGCAGAGAGACATCTTGTCAATAGAGACTTTTAGGGGTATGGAGGGTGGGGAAGGGAGTGGAGGGAAGCTGTGAGTGGAGAAGAGGAAGGAACAACCGGTGTCCTGGACGTCAAAGAGAGCGGTGTTGCCCTGGGCCCGTTTTCTTTTAACTGCTTCTCAGGACAGGTCAGTGTATCCACAGTGTATCCACAGGACTAAGTGTATCCACAGTGCTGTGTTCCAACAGCCACCCAACTCTTCCACAGGCTTCGCTTCCATCGTTCTCTCCCTCCCTCCCTTCCTGTGTGTGATATATGCAATGTGTCAGTTTTCATGTGTGTGCACTTACACGTGTGTAGGCCAGAGGTTGGTGTCCAGTATCTTCCTTGATTGCTCTCCACCTTAAAATTTTGTGTGTGTGTGTGTGTGTGTGTGTGTGTAACCTGGAGATGGAACTCAGGCTGTCAGGTTTGACGGCAAGTGCCTTCATCTGTTAACCCCCCTTGGTGACCCTGACCCTGGCTGTTTTTTCTTTTTTATTTATTGCATTTCATTTATTCATTTATTGTAGTTCACTTATCTATCTATCTATCTATCTGTCTGTCTGTCTATTTATTTATTTATTTATTTATTTGGTTTTTCTAGACAGGGTTTCTTTGTGTAACAGCCTTGGTTATTTATTTGGTTTTTCTAGACAGGGTTTCTTTGTGTAACAGCCTTGGCTGTCCTGGACTTGCTTTGTAGACCAGGCTGGCCTTGAACTCACAGAGATCTGCCTGCCTCTGCTTCCTGAGTGAGTGAGTGGTAGCATTATAGGTGTGTGCCATTACTGCCATTTTGTTTTGGTTTGTTTTAGTTTTTTATAATTAATTAATTAATTAATTAATTAATTAATTAATTAATTTTACAGCCCAATCACTGTTTCCCTTCCCTTCTCTCCTCCTCTCACCTCACCTCCCCACCATCCTCCCATCCTTGTCCTCCCTTTCTCCTCAGAAAAGACTCAGAATAAGGAAGGCCTCCCATGAATACCAATCCACCTTGGCATATTAAGTTGCGGTGGGACTAGACAGATCTTCTCCTGTTGTGGCTAGACAAGGCATCCAAGTTAGAGGAAACGGATCCCAAGGCAGGCAACAGAGACAAGCCCGCTGTTAGGAGCCCCACACGAGGACCCAGCGGCACCACTGTTACATATGTGCCGAGGGTCTAGGTCCATCTTGTACGTGCTCTCTGACGGGTGGTTCAGTCTGTGAACCTATGGGCC